ATTGATTTTAGCCTCAGCTGCACTCGAATATTCAAGGAAGAACAATCAAAATTGAAAATATAGGATCAGGGTACTTCTGTTACAAGTTTATCTTCGTTTGAGTTTCCATTTATACTGAGTTTTCTTATTACAACAGCGAGTGATCTTTGTATTTGAATTTGTCATCCTGATTTCTTAGGAAGCCAAGATGCTCCAGGTGAAAAGGCTTTGACTCTTTGCTTGCCTTTTTTTTTTTTTTGCCTTTAGCACTACTGAGTTTTGAAAGCAGGAACGTATTTTCAGCTTTTAAGAAGCTGACCAGCTGCAGGCCGGGAGAAGAAACAGCGCCTCAAAGAGATGCCGTGGTGATTAACTTAGGAACAGTTAGCTTGTTCATCCTGACTATGCAAATTTTTAAAAGCCTGTATGAATCCTAGTGTAATCCAAGTAAGCCGTGCTGTGATTTATGACACCTTAATGCAGGGATTTAGATTTTTGCTTGTCTGCCACCGGGAACCAATTTTAGTAAAGAGTTAGCAGGGGGACACAGCGTAACTTGAGCGCTGGATAATTTTGCTGCCACAGATACAGTTTAAGCCTTATAAACCTGAACATTCTGTATTTAAAGACAGTAAACATTCCCTCTTTCATTTGCTGTTTAACAAGAAGAAAATGTAGGTAGCAAGCATCTAGAACCCGCTGTCTACAAAGAGAAAGACAAAAACCATTCACGTGATTTTCCTGGGGTTCATATCTGCCATCCAGTACTAAGGTGAAATATGCCATGTTGATAGGAGTGCAAAACATTAAAAACCCTAGTAAGGTCTTTGACATTTCTATCAAATCTCCACTTAGTTTATATTTTATTTCTAGGACTCCCTTATATTTTTTCTTCTTCGTTTTTATTCAAGACTTCGCTATACGACCCGTTGCAGCACATACAGCAAGTCTGACTTAAATATTTATTTATCATCCCTTCCCTTCAGCATTTTCTGGTTTGCTAATTGAAGTGATTACCTAAGTGGCTATTTGATTCCTTGAGTGTATTTCATCTTCTCTAATTCAGAGTGCTTGGGGCCTGGTTTGAACCATTTGAAGCAGTGAGTTCTTTTGATTGAGTACCATGAGATTTTTAACTGAAAGTGCGTGATTTCTTTTACAGTAGCATAGAGAATAAGTCCAGGAACAACACTGAAAAATGAGTTTGTCTTTGCAATTGCCTGGGAGATGTCTTCGAATACAGTGTGTTTGGCATAAGCATAAATCAGTCTAAATCAGGAATACCTTAGGGTAGCTCTCTAGGAAGAGAAAACTGGAAGAGGAAATAGAATTGTATTTGTAAAGCAGATGGAATATAAGGAGAAAAACCTGGATGCAGCAAATGGAGGCACAGCTCCATTTCAGTAAACGTTATGCAATGACCTTGCCTCTGTTTATGCTTGGTCGGACTTGGATTCTGGAAGTGCTGTAAGCCACATGCTGTGACTGTTGTTCAGTGACACCGTACTCCTGCAGTAGTCTCGCAGGGGGCTATTTGGGGTGTGAGGAACCAAACAAGATGGGTAAGAATAGCATCTGCCCTTACATAAATGCCAACTGCTGCCACTTTTGACTGCGTTTGTGTCTGTAGACAGTGTCCCTGGGCCATGTTCACCAGCTATCCTGCCAATTCCCTTCAGACCCAGCCTGGCTCATCTGCGATGCGGTGTGGTAGCGTGGGTTGGGTAGGACAGACCCCAGCTTTTTAAGCTGCATCCCGGGGAACTGCTCCCCTGGCTGGCATCCAAGGATGCTGGCACTGTTGGTGTCTCACCCAGCAGCGAAACAGAGCATGGCCTTTCCTGACTGCTTGCCAGTCACAGTATGGCCCTGCTGCCCTCAAAGGGAGGGTGGAGGGTGAGGAGAGGCAGTTGTTGGCAACACCACCTAAGCAAAGATATAGAAATAATGTCCAGGATAAAGGAAGAGGCAAAAATACAGGGAAAGTCATGGCCAGAGGGCAGCAGGGGAAAGCAAGATGCCAGTTCAGAACTCTGATGTAGTTTGGACCCTACAAGTCTATAGTTGTAGCTAGCTTGTTGGGCTTGTGCTTTGCACTAGACTGTCACTCTTCTGTCATCCCTGCCACAAACATAATTCACACCGTGCTTTGCTCTGGAACAAACCAGCCCAGATACTTGATGGGGAAGCCCAGATACCAACTAGATTATCCCTGCTCAGGAATAATCCATGCTGTGCTGCAGTCTATACACTAGTGCAGACCTGTGCCAGATCTACTTTGGTCACATAAACATGGCCTAACAGACCATACAGCCTTCCAGACCTGTTTGGAGGAGCAGGTATGTTGTAAGGGCCCACCCAGGTATAAAGAGAGCTCCTGCACCAGTGTGCTCCCATGAGGTGCAGTGTACATGTCAGCTCTTCATGAAAGGGCTGTGCCTGGTAAAAAGGGCTGTGAGGCTGGAACAGAGCGACTGTGAGCTCTTCTGCACACCTTGCAGGAGCTCTCCAACATCCGATATCTACAATGGCTGCTTTGCTAAATTTATGCAATTTAAGAATGAATGAGGAAAATCTCCATGAACAGGCAACCATAGGCAGATCCCGGACTGATATCTACAATGGCTGCTTTGCTAAATTTATGCAATTTAAGAATGAATGAGGAAAATCTCCATGAACAGGCAACCATAGGCAGATCCCTGAACAAGGTTTACTTGATCTTCACTAGAGTGAGGTAAGAATGACCTTGGGTTTCACAGTCAGCTTCTGGATTGGGGTCTAACCATATAAGCTAATCTTTTTGCAATTTTTTCAATTCCACTTTCTGAAGAGATCTAGGCAGTACCGCTCTTTATTCCTGGAAGGGGCTTCGGTGAGCTATTGCAGTGGGCGTAGTTTAATGGCCTGGCAAAGAGGTGCAAGAATGAAAAGACCACCTGACTTCGAATCTGGTATTGCTAATCATTGACCGTCAGCCTCAGTAGAACAGGCTTAATTTGTACTTGCTTTTACTATGTTCTTCCAGCCTTGGGTGTGAGGTTGCATTGACCATAGGCAGCGCAGAGAGTACAGAAGTAAGTTACTCTCAGGGAATTGCCCAGTCAAGGAACCTTGTGGATAAACAGAAAATTCTTGTCTCTTCGTACAAACATCCAACTAGCCAAAACAGCAAATCAGATTGACTTATCTGCTCTGACAGCGAGAGGTGTGTGGAGCCAAACACGCTGCGTGGATTAGTTTTATTTCATCCACGTTTCCTAGCAAAGCCTGGAAGAACTGGTAGCATAGTTGCTGGGACTGGGCTTATTTGGCTTTTTAATTGTTTTTGGTTGGTGTGTGGGCTTTGGCTTGTTTGGCTTTTTAATTGTTTTTGGTTGGTGTGTGGGCTTTTGTAAATCTCGGATGGTTGCAGCCTTTGGGAAAGGGTGTTCTCATTTGGGCTGGCTGACATGAAGAAATGGGCAGGATGGTGGAGGAGAGTTGTGGTAGTTGAGCGTTTATTCTGTGTGTAATGGATATGGAAATAAGCGGCACAGGCTCAAGCTGAAAGTGTTACTCAGTGGTGAGTGATGGTTCATGAGTTTGTTGTTGGACGTATGTTTCCACATTTCAGAACGGCTCCTGGTGATGGCAGGAGAGATGATAGGTGGTCCAGCGCAGGGCCACTAAGATGATGAAGGGCCTGGAGCAGCTTCCACATGAGGAAAGGCTGAGAGAGCTGGGTCTGTTCAGCTTGGAGAAGAGGAGGCTGAGGGGGAATCTTGTCAGTGCTTATCAGTATCTAAAGGGTGGGTGTTAGGAGGATGGGGCCAGACTCTTCTCAGTGGTGTCCAGTGACAGGACGAGAGGCAATGGCCATAAACTGGAAACCGGAAGTTTCAACCCGAACATTTCAAAAGCCGCCTGGACTTGTTCCTGTGTGATCTACTTTAGGGGATCCTGCTGTGGCAGGGGGCTTGGACTAGATGATCTCTAGAGGTCCCTTCCAACCCCTTCCACTCTGGGAATCTGTGAGTTTGGACAGTTTGGGATAACAGAAGAGAACTGAGAAATGGCCATAAACTGGAAACCGGAAGTTTCAACCCGAACATTTCAAAAGCCGCCTGGACTTGTTCCTGTGTGATCTACTTTAGGGGATCCTGCTGTGGCAGGGGGCTTGGACTAGATGATCTCTAGAGGTCCCTTCCAACCCCTTCCACTCTGGGAATCTGTGAGTTTGGACAGTTTGGGATAACAGAAGAGAACTGAGAATGGTTTCTGAAAGGGACAAGGATATTATCACACTGTGAGCTTTGTAAAGTGTCATTTTTAGCAAAGTTAGCAAAAGGTTAGTTTGCAGGATCACTCCGGTTCTCATTGATATAAATGCCACTTAATTTATGGGAAACAATACTTCTGCTCCTCCCCATAAGGAAAAATTATGATCTAAAGAAGAGACACCTGTATTATAAAAGGAGCAAGTATCAACTTTAGATTTCTTCTTCCTGCTTGTTGTGCTGGTTCTGATACAGATGTATTCACTCATATTACATTCCCACACTAGTGTCACTATTTTAAAAGACTTTTTTCCTAAATTAAAAATCAAACCTGCTTCAGAATTTATTTTGGATAATGCAGGATATTCAGTGTGTTTTCTTTTGCCTTATTCCATATAGGTTTTTTTATTTTCTTCTTATCCCTCAAATACCTCACACCTGAATTTAGTGGGACAAACTAGGAGTTTAGCATACTGGTTGCAATTCTTCAGTGCTAGTGCCTTCATACTCAGGCTGCCCTGCTTATGGTAAGTCTCCACTGGGTTCTATGTTCCCTAGGCTGTAACCTGGTAGTCATAGTGAGGGAGGAAGCAGTGTAGCATGTTACTGACTTTTGTTTCAGATGGGAGGAGGAAAAGCAGCATTAACAAGACTGAGCTCGTGGGAAACAGTAGGCTTTCAGAGGAATGGGGAAAGCTCAACCTGTAGGTGATGGGAAGTTTGACTTGCTAAATGATTGATTGTGCAGAACAGAAGGAAGAGGCCATGAACGTGCCTGTCCGTGTCGAGCATTGCTTTCGAAAGGCAACGTATGTTATTGTTACTGCAACCCTTGTTGACCCAGAAGTTGACAGAGCAGGAGGGGTACGTGCTAGCTGAGAGCTGGGCAGCAGTTTTTAAGTAGGTTCTTAGTCTAATTGTAACTTTCAAACAAATGCCATTGCATTTATGTTTTTTCTAAACCAGGGGTAGAAATACGGAGTCAGGTGCATGTGTTTAAAAACAACTCCTTTTGTTTAAACAACAAAGCTATCTGTGACCTGGTGAATGGAGGCCAGGATGTAGCATGAGCTACCAGTTCAAGTGGAGCCACGAGAAGAATAGCCACTTGATTATTTTTTTCTTCTTCACCCCCACACACCTCTTTTTAGAGAAGGAAGAGGTACGTTTTTCCTTTTTCATCTTCAGGTTTGATGTATCGGGGGTTTCCATGCTTTCAGTGATTTTGGGATCATAGGTACATCCTCTGAAGGTACATTCCGAATCGAGGCCCTTTTGTAAGGAAACACCAACTTTAGGTTTATTTTGTGAGCTTAGTTTCAAAGATAGGTTCACTTTTGGTTTTTAGTTTCCCAGATCTTCCTGATTTCTGTGGGCTTTGCAAGCACTTTCCAGTCTTCTGCAGCAATGCAAGGAGGGGAGGGGCTGGTGCTTTGAGCTCCAGGGGGTGAGAGGGCATCTGACAGGGGATGTGAGTCTTGCATCAGGACATGTAATGACACCTCTTCAGAAAACAATCGGCAAGTCCTCACTAAAACTAAAGCAAGAATAAATAGTGATACGTCCTGCCCTGTAGCTTCCCCTTTCCCACCTTGGGCTGGTTGCCATTTTGGGGATGAGCAGATCCGTCAAAGAGACAGAGCAGTGCGGTGAACGGGCTCCTGCCAACACCACGGGTAGTGGTAGGTGGTTGCATCTGCAGCCTCCCTGCAAGAGGATCAGGTTGGCAGCACCTGCTGCTTTAACCTCAGAACTTGGAGTATCTTCTGAAGCGGCTTTGTCGGCACCTGTCCCACTCCTCATCTGCCAAGACTCTTCTATCTTCAGTCTCCTTGGGCGGCTTCTTTAATAGAAGAGTGAGCTCGATGGAAGAATCACCTGTTTTTCTCTGGCTGTACTTTCAAATAGAGATATGCTCTGGGGGGGACATGCAGATACACCTGCCTTTACTAATGGTTGTCAGGGGAAGTCTGAAAATTCTGCCTGTGATGTGTTCAGGTGTAGTGAATCTGCCTGGGAGGTAGTACTGGAGGTTGCTTCTGTGCTTTGGTGAGCTCAGTGAAACTCCCTAGGAATAAATTCTGATTCGAAGGAGTTGTCTATAAGGAAAGAAAAACATAGCTGCTCACTAAAACCAGCCAGCAGTTTGTTCAGTCAGCTGTCTTTTAATTCCCTGGGCCAGTATTTGATTACTGTTGACTAGATTTAAGGAGTTACATTTTCTGAAGCATACCTATGTTTTTTTAGTACTAACTTTCCCATGCTTTTGTAGAGAACTGCTTTCTGATTAATTTCATTTTTATGTGCAGTGGAAATAGAAAAAGCTTTAATTAACAACATTGTAGCTTTCTGTTTCTTAAATGTGATTGTACTGTAAACTCTCCTGCAGGTGTCTCAGGGTAGTGCAGGTCTTTATCCGTTAACATACCCTACAAAATAACTGCACAGCGAACTGCGGTCAGTCTCTCTTCTGTGACAGAAATGTATTTGGCAAGGAGTTCTTGTCTTCCGTGGTAGAGGAGGCAGCTGTCATTGCTGGCCTTTTCAGTATTGCGACCGAATAGGTCTGGTACGTGAAAGTGCAGGCATTAGAAATGCAGTGGTGGAATTGGCAGCTACTTCTAGCAGGAAGTTTTTAAGTTTCCTGTATGCTAGAATAGCATGAACCAAAATACCTTACTCTCTAAACTGTCAACACTGTCCGTGTGTCCAGAACATATAGCTTTGTTCTTTGCATATTTCCTTCAAATGAGTACTTGCTGTGTCCAAAATGATTTTTACAAAGCTTTCTCCTATTGCTCTTTCAGACTACGCTGGCACACATCATAGCCAACAGCAGCAAAAAGAACGGCACGAGGTTTGTGACACTGTCAGCCACAAGTGCCAAGACAAATGATGTTCGAGATGTCATCAGCCAAGCCCAGAATGAAAAAAGACTCTTCAAGAGAAAAACCATCCTCTTTATTGACGAGATCCATCGTTTCAATAAATCTCAGCAGGTATTGTACTATGCTGCTTTCTGGAAAAAGCCTCTATCTGCACTTCTGTAAAATTTCCCACCTTGCCTTAAGACGATAGCTTACTTTGGGCTTTTGATTTTAATGTTTTTAGTAGATGAGTTAGGGAGAAACATAACAATTAAACTGCATAACTGTGTTGTGATTGAATTCCATAACTTTTCACATATGGTGGTTCAAAGATTTAAATGAAAGTCTCAGTTATACTTAGAGTTGGCTTACATGCCAGGCTTCATATGACACTTTTCTAAAACTTTGTTTCTGCAAAGTCATGTTAGTAACGTTTTTGATGTATATATCTCCATTTCGGCCTCCTCACCGGGGGTAACATTTCTGCATTACCTTTAAAAAGATCTGGAATGTGGCTGTGCCTAGGGTGTTTATTCAGTTTAATGTTGTCCCCTCTTCTCTGCGAGAAAAGAGACCATAGTGCCGTTTAAAAAAATCCAAAAGAGGCCAGAGTCATATCATGGAAAGCTTGAGTTCTGTACTACAGGCTGCAGTTTCCATATCAAACCATACTCCAATCTTCCTATAGTTTTATGAGCCATCCTATAGAATTATATAGGGAACTCTAGCCTAAAGATTGTTTCAAAGAGTATTTGGAAGTAGCCTCACTATTTATTATATTCAGTAAGGCAATTTCAGTATATCTTACGTTTGCCAAGCAATAAACCAAGGTCACATAAATTAAAAACTTGCAGATTTTTGTCACAGTTTCTTTCCAGCTGATAGGGCCATTCTCAGTGCAGGTCCGAGTTATTAAGGTGAACAGCCCATAACGTGCTGTGTGTGTGCAATTAAATCATTTCAATAGCCGAGCAGATGAGCTGCCTTGTCAGTGAGGTTATTTGTCATACCAGCAGGGAACCCAAAGACTCACAAGACACGAAAAACATAGCCTACTCACATGGAATGTTTCAGGTTGTCGTTGATTGAGATCAGCTTTTTCTGCTTCCCTCCCATCCTCAGGACACTTTCCTTCCTCACGTTGAGTGTGGGATGGTGACCCTGATAGGAGCGACCACAGAAAACCCTTCCTTCCAAGTCAACGCCGCTCTTCTGAGCCGATGCCGAGTGATCGTCCTGGAGAAGCTCTCAGTTGAAGCGATGGAGGCGATTCTGATGCGGGCTGTCAGGTCTTTAGGGGTCCAGGTTTTGGGCCAGGGCGACCAGCACGGCAGCTCTGCAACTGGCAGCAGCAGCGGGAGCTCGGAGTGAGTACTTTATGGTCTGCAGGGTGTTAACGCGCACAGCGCAAGGAATTGACTGCCTGCCAGGGAGAGAATGAAGCAGTTGGGGGGTGGGAAGAGAAACCCTAGCCACTTCTGATAGTAAAGAAAAGAAGTGGCAGCATATGGCAGGGGGTGACAGGAGAGAGAGAATTCAAAGCACTGCCTCCCTCCATCCAAAACATAATCTCACCGTCTGGATTAGGAGGGAGAGAGAGAGAGCGAGTTTTATACTTGGATCTGTAGCTCCTGACTCACCCTCCCAGGATATTTAAATCTGTTCTGCTGCTGAGGATTTGCTGTGGAAGCGTGTAACTGGTTCTTTGTCATGTCCTGATGTGTGTTACTTCTTGCTGCTGGTTGTAAAAGCATCGTGTTACCATTAAGTGGTGGGTGGGGCATCCCCTCTTAAATTAATACGAAAGTGCCCAACAGAAGTTTATTGTTTTGTGGGAATTTTTTTTTTTAATAAGATCAGGGAGGATACTACTGTTCTTTAGGTGCAGGATAAGTGCTGTGGTATGTTTTACGGTATGCTGTGGGGAGAGGAGGCTGTTGCTGTGAGGTGTTAATAGACTATTTAAGATTGTTTAGACTTTGTTTTTCTCTGCTTGTTGTTCAAGCTGAGTCACATTAAACGTAAGGATGAGTTTTGGAAAAAATGAGAACCAGATTTGTCCATAAGGGATGTTACCTGCCTTCTGAAATAGCTTGCTGGCCATTAAGAATAATGCTTGGTACTGCTCTGTTTTCATGCGAGTTATTACAGTTCCTTCCTGTTGATGCTTGTCTGTACCCCTAGTAATTTGCAGTGTATTGACATGGTGGTTATTAGGCAGGCACTCCGCATGAAGTAAATGAGAGGGAATCTACTTTGTCCTTTAAATTTATCACAGAACGCAAGCACTGAGAATCGCTAACCTGAATGCTGAGGGCAGGGCAGGGAAGGAAAGCTACTCCCTTTTTATTTTTAGGGTACTGTGCCTCATGGTTTACTCATTTGTAGCTTTTACATATTGTAGTAATGTGAATTTCAGAAGAGAGAGCAGTACTGGGTGTCAGCCATAATGTAATGGCACAGCTGTGGTTGTGGCTACACCCTGACTGGGGTGCGGAGACTTTCCTTTCTATATGGGATTAAAGTACAAGGCATAGTTTCAGCTGCAGTTGTTTGGGTTTGGGTTTCGCTAGACTCTCCGTATCTGTAACCTTCCCTTAGCTATGGATGATTTAAACAGCATGGTGTGGTGCTTCATCAAACTGAAAGGAGTCTGGCAGGCAGACTGTCAGACTAGCACTGTTTCAGAAATCTATCCATGGGGAGAGAGGGCCCCACTCCAGTGGCTAACGTGGGAGCCAAGCATTTAAAAATAAAAACGGAGTTCAGAATTTGGGACCATTTGTTGCAGTTGTGTGTTAAGTCTTTCTTGTCTTTCCCAACGCTATTGGATTCTGGTCCACAGTTGGTACATACTGTTGCTGGTGAGTTTGGCTTTTTATAATCCACCCTGTTCCTTACTGTGGTTCTGGTTTTGGTCTCCTTGTTAATTCCTCCTTCTCGCTTCATTGTTCATACCATTGCTGCCCCTTCACTTGCTCTCCACCTACTGCTCTGCAGGAGCAGTTGTCTCTTGTCTTTTACCTCTTCATCTCCCTGCCTCTGTGAAGCAGGGCTGTCATTAGCTGCCAGCAGGTAACAGTGCTCATGCTGCCATGAGGTCACCAGTTACAGCTGAACTGGTTGTTCACTGTGCTTGCCTTTGTTCCAGAGTTGGAAAAGGAGCTGTAAGGCACCATGTCCCCAAATGTGGAGCACACCCACTCTGAAAATGCTTCGGAGATCTCGCCAGAAGGCATGAGGGATGCGTATATTGAATTTTGTATTTCACTTCCCATGTGATCCTCCCTTCCCATGGAAGTGTAGTATGAAGTCCTGTATGTGCCACTTGGCCTCAGTTTGGCCTTATTATCACATCACATGTCTGACATGATGGCTGGTCTAGATGAGAATTTGAAGATGATGATTCTTTGGGGTCTCTCCTATTACCTTGAGGAATAAGGTGAGGCTGAATCTTCCTTAGTCCACAGGCATCTTCTGTGCTCAACAGGAATGCGGCCATTGCTGAGTGGTTCAATAGGTTTCATCATCTCTGCACCCCATGCATGTGCAGCAGTTATTGAAGGGGAAGTGTGCCCTCCCCAAATCTGTTTCCTTAGATTTTTCTGGTGGCTTTTACTTACCTTGCTTCCATCATTGCGGCAGGTTTCTTATAAAGTTAGGTCACCTGGCTTCTTTTTTATCCTACTGTGGCCTTTGCTTGCTGTAAAGGTGAAATAGAACCAGCAGGAGGTGTTACCTGCTTTGGTATCTTATCACACTTATAAAGCTTCTTTGACTATTTTTATATTAGTTACTGGGTTTTTTTAGGAGGAGATGTGTTTTGTGTTATATTTTCATCAACTTCACACCCCTCAAATTGTGCATCTTAAAGCCTGCATGAAATTAAGGTAATAGATGGGGAAATAGGAAAGGAAGAAACATACTCAAGAAGAAGAAAAGAAAGGAGAAGTCAATGTTAAAGATGTATTATGTTGCTGAAACTTTGCTTACGCTCTCTTCAATTTATGCTGTGGCAGTAATACCACAAACAGTTCCAGGTGTGCACTGACAGGTTTGTGCTGTGTCAGTGGTGCAGGGGATCAAATTCTTCTTTCCTTGGCTTTTTATTTTTATCATTCAAGTGCTGCCCTCGGAGTGGTGTCTAATTGAAGTCAGAGAGTAAACTGGGTGGAGGATAAATGTATCTGAAGCTAGATAGCACAGAAGGCGCACAGCTGAGGGAAATGAAAGGATCCCCAGTTTCCTGTTGGCAAGCCCAGATATCATGCAGCTGAGCTCATTAGTGGCTGCGTTACAAGTACTGACAGGTTTTGAATTCACTGGTTTGTAAATCATGGTCTTGAAGATGGGCTTCCTTTGGGTCTTCAGTGTTCAACGCCTTTTTGCAAATTGCTCCCTTTTTGGAACATCTGTCCAACTTTCTTGCAGGAAATAAGAGTTGCTGGGGTGAGAGGTGGCATTCCAAGGACAGTGCTGTATGGCAGTGAGCAACGTGTATCTGCATCGTACTGCAGTCTTTCAGATGAAGAACTGGTTTTGCCTGTGAAAGTGTTGCAGTCTGTCAAGGAGTGAGTGTTATGAGAATAATTGCACTGAGAAAGTGAGAAAGTACTGATTTATATGTGAAAAAAGCAGTGGGTCCTTTATCTCATGATCTGCTCAATTATTTTTAAATCTTTCATCCATACAGGTTCTCCTTGTGTGGACTTCCTTACATTCATGCTGTGATATTGCTTGCACCCTCTTGTCATTGGATCAGACGCTGTGGTGTGGTTCAGGTTTTATGCGTAGTTCATCATACGTTTCATGTTGGTTCTTGGCACAGACTGTCTTGAGGGTGTGGAGATGAGGAGGAATTGGAAGAAGGATTTATTATCCCGTAGGGGTAGTTTTCCATTCCTTAAGCTAGTATATCACCTTCAGCTCAGTGAGTGATGGATCCCAGGACGTCCCTTTTGGCTTGTTTATGTTTTTGTCTCCAAGTATCATCAGTTACAAGGTACCAGCGTTGAGCATTGGCATCCAGCGCCAATATTTGGTGTTAATTTTGGAAAGTGAAAAAACCCACAAGACTGCCCATCTGCGAGAGGATCAAGAGCTTGGGAAGAGGTCAGAAAACACGGGAGTTATTCTGCTTTGGAGTTCTAGGGCATGCAGAAGTCGGGTAAAGCGGAAGGGTATAGGGCACTTGAGCTTCTGAAGACAGGATGGGCTTAAAAATGTAAAATGCAGCGAGTATCTTTTGGAAGCCAAGGTATCGATCAAAATAATTGTCATCCTGATTTTGAGATTAGGTTCCTACCTGGTAAAGTTAAGTCATCAGAAAAATGGAATTCAAGATTTTAATTCTTCTGAAAAAAATAACTGAATTCAATTATTCTGAGTATAAAATGTTATTATCTTGAAATGCCAAGTGTGAACGGAGCTGAGATTATGCAACAGGGAAGCATTATTTCCAATCAGTGATTCTCATCAATAAGCTGTGCAAACAGCTTGTTTGTGGAAATTCTCTCTGTTTATTCTTGTTCTTTATCGTGCCCTGTATGTCGTACTGTTGTTGCAGACATGGTCTGGATCAACCTAACATGTATTTGGAGCAACATTTCCGTTACCAGTCTTGTTGCAACTTGGATTTGACAATGGAAGTGTGCAAGACCTTTGCTTGTAACAAGATTTTGCATACCTCTGTGTGCATACTCGTTTTAATTCCTGTAATTCCTTGTGTTTGGTCAACAGGGCAGAGTCCTGTAGTGAAACCAAAGAGTCAGGAATATGCTCGGTTTTCTTGCCAAGCTTCTAGTTAGCAAATAAATGGCAAAAGTGCTCTGAGGCCTCAACTTTGTTTGGAGCAGACTGTTCTTAGCTTCCTTCCTTCCTCGTACCTGCCTTGTAGTGCTCTCAACACTTCCCCTCTACTTGCAGTCACTGAGTGCAGCTGTGGGTGTCGGTGTGAAGAGGCCTCAAACGCGTGGTGGTGTTCTCTGCAAACAGCAGGCAGCGAGCTTTGTCCTCGCAGGCGAAACCTTCTCTTCTGATTACCTTGCTGGTGCATCCAAAGTGTTCGCTCAGTGTGCAGCATATAGTGGGTTTTATTCCCTGTTGATGGAGGCATTAGCAGCAGGACATCTGTGTGTAGTGCCTGCTGGGTTTTTAAAAACAGCTTTGGCTTTCTTTGCTGGCTTCTTTCATTGCATGTAGAAAAACCTGGTGCCTGTCTGTAGCACTGAGGAGTGAACACTGCTCTCTGATTTTCAAGGAATTTGATGCATGAGATACTTGACTCAGACCCTATGCTGTTATATTCTTCTGCTTCCCCATTTAGACACAAAGGTGTTTGAAACACCTTGGAGAAGGTGTGGTTATTTTGGAGTTTTACTCTCTGTGTGTGGTTTTTGGTTTGGTTTTTGTTGTTTTTTTTTTTACTAGCTTTATCACATACATGATAAAAACATGACGAGGCATACGTGCACAGATTCATTTTCCCACAGGA